AGGTGTTGGTCTCGGCCGTGCTGGTGCTCTGCGTCTTCGTCGTCATGCCCAGGATGTTCGGGGGAGGAGGCGGAGGGCGGCCCGGCCGGTCTCCGCGGGGCGGCAAGGCCGGCCCCGGCCATTACGATCCCCGTCAGCACGGCAGAGGTAGTAGCCGGGGCGATGCCGCGGGTTCCGTGCGGGAGCCGCCGCGGGCTCGGGCGGGCTTGAAGGGAACCCCAGGAGCCGAGAGGGAGGTGCTCTCGTCCGGCGGGAGGCACCGGGGGTGCTCGGGCCTGGTCAGAGCGCATCGAGCTGGCCTGTGTGCGCCTTAAACACCCCCATCTCCTGCGGTGTTCTGCTGTTCTGGTTCGCCAGTGCTTTGAGTTTTGTCTGTGTTGTCTTGCCAAAACTGCTCTTAAGTGCAGGAAACACCCGATAATTGGCAGTGAGGGGCGGTGTGACGAACAGTGCCCGAGGGGCGCAGTCGAACAGATGAACTGAGAGGTGTCACAGGGAAAAATCTATGGCAATAAGGAAGCCGAGTGTTGCTTTTAGTAAATATACGCACAGAGTCATACAAAATCTGTCCGCCAGTATATTAAAAAAGAGTCCAAGATGCTTGTTTAGAAAAGATATCAATGAATGGGTTACAGAGTTTACTGCTTCCAGCAGCTATAGCTGAATATCCACGTATATTAAGTCATGCCCAGTTCATGTCACGATTTAGCTCAGGGTCGAAGGATACACCTTTGTTTTGACAATCACAAAAAGCCTGGTTTTGTGAGGTAGCTCTGTGATTCGTTGACGATGCCTTCCAAGGTGTTTCAAACCGAGAGATGCCTAGTTGCTGTAATTCTCCAAATCTGTCTGGAAGAAAAAGCTGGCAGAAAAATGGAGGCTTGAGCTGCTACCATCGTCTTCCTACCTGTTTCATCCTCCCCAACACTGTGCTTCATAAGCTCTTGCTGGCCTGTTTCGCCTGAGTGTTTTTTATTTATAAGGTAGCTGTATATTCCCTATAGATCAAATTATTTTAAAACCAAATCCTAAAAAAAAAAAAAAAAAAAAAAAAAAAAAAAGAGAAACTGTTCACATGCCTGTGATTCTACTGAAGTACTGGCCCAGCACTGAGTAAAATGAATCTCAGACAGATCTCCTGTTCTCACCTTCTGGGTTGTTCTCTTTTCCTGCTTGGCTAGTAACTCACTTTGCCATTTCTTCTGTGGGATAAACTTGGTGCAGGACACTGGACTTCGCTGGGATTCAACATTCCTCTTCTCTAACAAGGTGTAGAAAACCAGACACCACCAAGGTGTTTCCGTTGCCACATTCTTATTTGTATGATCTGTAGAAATCTTTTTCATCTGTGATAGTAACTATTTTAGTAAAACTTCTCATTTACTTTAAAAACAAATAGAACTTAAGGAAAAAGGTGAGTGTAAATCTAAAATTAGGAATCAATATGAAACATTCTGAAAGTTGGAAAAATATATATAATATAAAATGTAATTTCTAAATTAGTTAGTGCAATTTTAGCAAGTCTAAATCTACTTGTCCTGTAAGGACAATGCCTGCCTGAATTTGCACTGAATGATGAAGGTAGCTTGAGTTCTGATTGTATGAGCTAGAGCATTTAGGTTTTGTAACATTAATTTTTTCTCTATCTGATTGTGGCTGTACTTTGTACACTTGAGTTATGTTACTGTGAGTTCCTGAAATGCCACTGTTACAGTATTAATTGATGAGTAGTGATTTGCATAATGGTCTTTTGCTTGGGAGTTTTTATGGAATGAGATCCTTGCCATAGCCATACTCAGTTCTGATACGTAACGTTTGAAATTGTAAGTCTAGGCACTCAGTTGAGACATCAGTGTAAAACTTCACAATCCCCAATCCCCTGCTGTCTGTCTCTGCAAGCATCTGCATTCTTTAGCTGATGGTACTGTTCCATATGTGCATGTCCCATGAACCCTTGATTTAACTACCAAATAATCTGTTTCCTAAGTTGAACAATGGCACTGTCTGTTTTCTCATCTGCTCCCTGTTCTGGCAGGCAAATTACATGCAAAAATACTTCTGACTTCCAAGGTTGCATCTCCTGGCTATTGTATAATCTTGTGCTGCTAAATATTTGATTTGCAGAGGTACAGTACTTCTAAGCCTGTGGGAATATCCATGTAAAACTGAGTTTACTGCCAAAATAATAAAAGCAGCAGCACAGCGTATTTCAACAAAACCTTTTTTTTTTCTGAGGCCAGACAATTCAGTTTGTAATTAACTCAGTTCCTTTGGTGCAAAGGAAAAATATTTATTACTGTTTTCAGCATTATCAATAGTTTCTCTGAGTATGCTTTCATTTC